CATATTCCCCTATTCAAAGTGTTAAGGGTCTAGTGATAGTTTGATCTTCATCTTGAACTTTGAACACATGAGTGCATGATAGAAATCTATCCTATGCCTGAGTATTATATATGTGTTTTCTTTCAAACTCAACCATAGTGCACCTTGAATGTGTAATTTCAAAAATTTATTGATTGGATCCACATTTTAGAGCTTGACATATGTTGTCCGAATTTGATATTGACAATTTACGTGCAAATATACACGATCAACAAGTAACAAAGTGACAAGTAGAGTATCATTCCCACAAAGATTTATTACTAATAATGTCTATGTACTAACTTTGTATCAATTCAATTTTATTTAAACAACTGGAATTGAACTATGAAATGACAAATTTAAAACTAAATCTAAACTTAATAATCAATGATTGAATTTACCAGATAAAAGAACTTAAGATTATAACTTCCCCTAATGCTTCGTATAAATCTTTCTACTCTTTTTCCAATTAATTAATCAAAATAAGTTGTTAACTGAAAGCTCAAAATTATTTATCAAACCTTTTTCGATAATTAAATAAAAATATCTCTCTCAATTAAATTACTATATTCCNCGATGGAGGCGGCGCCCAAGGGGCTAATTTTGGAGGTGGCCATAGTCTCGGGATCTTCGTTGAGGCCGACAAAACTTCCATGGAAGGAGTAGAAGGTAGTGGAGCCATGGAGCGTGGCGCCTATGGTGAGGAAGGGAGAGGCGATGGCAGTCCGCAAGGCATGGGAGAGCCCATGGGCGGCACCAGGGATGCTACGGACGGCACCCAACTAGGCAGCCAAGATAAGGGCAACGCCTTGTCTTTTTTGGGCACTGGGCCTACTTGGTCAGGTGGAGGCTTCAACCATTTGGGCGCCGACTGTGCTAGAGAGATTGGGCGAAATGGAGGGGCATNGTTAACAACACCATTTTGTGGTGAAATGCACCATTCACTTATTCTACCAATTTTTTGTGTAGAATAGGAATAGGTGGAGATAAGTGGAAAATTTTAAAAACAAATTTGTGGAAAATATCTAAATTTTGAACCATATTCCCCTATTCAAAGTGTTAAGGGTCTAGTGATAGTTTGATCTTCATCTTGAACTTTGAACACATGAGTGCATGATAGAAATCTATCCTATGCCTGAGTATTATATATGTGTTTTCTTTCAAACTCAACCATAGTGCACCTTGAATGTGTAATTTCAAAAATTTATTGATTGGATCCACATTTTAGAGCTTGACATATGTTGTCCGAATTTGATATTGACAATTTACGTGCAAATATACACGATCAACAAGTAACAAAGTGACAAGTAGAGTATCATTCCCACAAAGATTTATTACTAATAATGTCTATGTACTAACTTTGTATCAATTCAATTTTATTTAAACAACTGGAATTGAACTATGAAATGACAAATTTAAAACTAAATCTAAACTTAATAATCAATGATTGAATTTACCAGATAAAAGAACTTAAGATTATAACTTCCCCTAATGCTTCGTATAAATCTTTCTACTCTTTTTCCAATTAATTAATCAAAATAAGTTGTTAACTGAAAACTCAAAATTATTTATCAAACCTTTTTCGATAATTAAATAAAAATATCTCTCTCAATTAAATTACTATATTCATATGCAAAATAATTTCGAATAGATTCATTAAGTTCAAAGTCTCATATAATTTACACACGACATATAGGTATATTTCTATCCTATACACAAACCCAGCTATTCAATCCTAAGAAGAATTAATCAAACGCATGTCATTATATTCAGATATAAACCTAGAATTTATCTTCCAATTTCATCTAGGAAATCAAATCAATTTCTAGCCCCACAATCATATAGTAAGCACAAAATATGATAAACAACTTATATATGATCAATAAAAACTAGATACGAGAGTAGATTAATTTAACTAAACATCAGGTTTCGTTGCAATCTTAATAAAAATTTAGCTCATAATGTAATTGAAAAACATCATTCTCAAATTAATCAACATCTTAGAAAATCAAAAACTAAAAATAAGAGAAAAGAATGAAAACTTAGTTTTCAATCTTCAATCTCTCTCTAACCTTCAAGTCCAATCTTCTTCGCGTCGCTTCCTTCAATTTTTGTCTTCAATTCACTTTTAATCCTTGGTTTTCCCTCTATTAGAAGCCCCCTTAAATAGTATATTTATATCCCCGCTTAAACCCTACCATGTATTTAGCATTAGAGTTCAATTTCTACTCAAAAACAAGTCAGAATTCGCATCAAGAGCTGAAACACGCAGTGCAGCCCCATAAATCAGCGTAGCTGCGTTGACTTTTTACCCTCCTAGAGCTGTAGTGCTGCATGTAGAGCTACGGTGATGATCCCTTTTTATGCCCATAGCTGCCCTTGTTGCTTAATGTACTCTAAGAAAATTGCAATGTTTCAAAAGAGAGAGACTTGGTGTGTAGAAAGGTGAGAGAGATGTCAAGGTCATCAAGGTGATGCCCTCTATGTGGAGAGAGCTTACATTATATAGGTATGATGAGGCAGTGAGGTGAGATGGTCACTACTATTTTGGTAAGTACAATTAAGGTAGAATTAGATCTCCATGTGTATCATAATATTCTCTCTCTCGTCCTCCTATTCCTTTGAGAGGAGGATCCTGAGCTGGGTCGGATTGGATCAAAGTGGCAAAGTAAGGAGGTCGAAGGAGAGATAGGAGGGCTAGGCCATAGACGGCGCCTGGTGCTTGGGTGTTCCCCTTGGGCTGCTCCTTTGGATGCTGGCAAATTAGGTTCTTTTTTGGGCGCTAATGACTTGGCCTCTTCTTGGTTTTTTTTATTAGGCTAGCATAGTTGATTTTGGGCTCACCATTTGCCCCCCATGCCCCAAGCCTCAGAATGTTCATGCAAGTGGGTGTTGAGGGCATGTGCTTCTTCTTCACTTGAGTAGGAGTTTTCTTGCTCCCCATGGCGCTTTTCCATCTTTTGGAACTCTGTTGAGTTTACTGAAATCGGATATATTTTTTGCATTTTTCGGTATTGCTCTTACTAGGTCTTTGTCTATAAATAGGGGTCCTTGGTCTCTTCCTCCTCATTCCTCTTTTCATTTCTTATTTATGGAGGCTTCTCTTAGAAGCTATCCCTATAAGCTTCTCCAAGAAGCTATTCAATCAAGCTTCTTCAAGAAGTTGGTCATCAAGCTTCTCTAAGAAGCTACTTCAACAAGGCTTCCTCAAGAAGTCATTCTTCCTCTATTTAAAGGCCTCTTCAAGAGGCTACTGTTCATCACTCTCATTTCTCTCCCTTCGTCTTCCCTTTCTCAAATTATAGAAAACCCATGGAGACTAGAAGCTCAAAGAAACACAAAGAGGGTTTTAGTGGCGATGGAGGCGGCGCCCAAGGGGCTAATTTTGGAGGTGGCCATAGTCTCGGGATCTTTGTTGAGGCCGACAAAACTTCCATGGAAGGAGTAGAAGGTAGTGGAGCCATGGAGCGTGGCGCCTTTGGTGAGGAAGGGAGAGGCGATGGCAGTCCGCAAGGCATGGGAAAGCCCATGGGCGGCACCAGGGATGCTACGGACGGCACCCAACTAGGCAGCCAAGATAAGGGCAACGCCTTGTCTTTTTTGGGCGCTGGGCCTACTTGGTCAGGTGGAGGCTTCAACCATTTGGGCGCCGACTGTGCTAGAGAGATTGGGCGAAATGGAGGGGCAGNTCTCATATAATTTACACACGACATATAGGTATATTTCTATCCTATACACAAACCCAGTTATTCAATCCTAAGAAGAATTAATCAAACGCATGTCATTATATTCAGATCTAAACCTAGAATTTATCTTCCAATTTCATCTAGGAAATCAAATTAATTTCTAGCCCCNTATAAATCTTTCTACTCTTTTTCCAATTAATTAATCAAAATAAGTTGTTAACTGAAAACTCAAAATTATTTATCAAACCTTTTTCGATAATTAAATAAAAATATCTCTCTCAATTAAATTACTATATTCCTATGCAAAATAATTTCGAATAGATTCATTAAGTTCAAAGTCTCATATAATTTACACACGACATATAGGTATATTTCTATCCTATACACAAACCCAGCTATTCAATCCTAAGAAGAATTAATCAAACGCATGTCATTATATTCAGATATAAACCTAGAATTTATCTTCCAATTTCATCTAGGAAATCAAATCAATTTCTAGCCCCACAATCATATAGTAAGCACAAAATATGATAAACAACTTATATATGATCAATAAAAACTAGATACGAGAGTAGATTAATTTAACTAAACATCAGGTTTCGTTGCAATCTTAATAAAAATTTAGCTCATAATGTAATTGAAAAACATCATTCTCAAATTAATCAACATCTTAGAAAATCAAAAACTAAAAATAAGAGAAAAGAATGAAAACTTAGTTTTCAATCTTCAATCTCTCTCTAACCTTCAAGTCCAATCTTCTTCGCGTCGCTTCCTTCAATTTTTGTCTTCAATTCACTTTTAATCCTTGGTTTTCCCTCTATTAGAAGCCCCCTTAAATAGTATATTTATATCCCCGCTTAAACCCTACCATGTATTTAGCATTAGAGTTCAATTTCTACTCAAAAACAAGTCAGAATTCGCATCAAGAGCTGAAACACGCAGTGCAGCCCCATAAATCAGCGTAGCTGCGTTGACTTTTTACCCTCCTAGAGCTGTAGTGCTGCATGTAGAGCTACGGTGATGATCCCTTTTTATGCCCATAGCTGCCCTTGTTGCTTAATGTACTCTAAGAAAATTGCAATGTTTCAAAAGAGAGAGACTTGGTGTGTAGAAAGGTGAGAGAGATGTCAAGGTCATCAAGGTGATGCCCTCTATGTGGAGAGAGCTTACATTATATAGGTATGATGAGGCAGTGAGGTGAGATGGTCACTACTATTTTGGTAAGTACAATTAAGGTAGAATTAGATCTCCATGTGTATCATAATATTCTCTCTCTCGTCCTCCTATTCCTTTGAGAGGAGGATCCTGAGCTGGGTCGGATTGGATCAAAGTGGCAAAGTAAGGAGGTCGAAGGAGAGATAGGAGGGCTAGGCCATAGACGGCGCCTGGTGCTTGGGTGTTCCCCTTGGGCTGCTCCTTTGGATGCTGGCAAATTAGGTTCTTTTTTGGGCGCTAATGACTTGGCCTCTTCTTGGTTTTTTTTATTAGGCTAGCATAGTTGATTTTGGGCTCACCATTTGCCCCCCATGCCCCAAGCCTCAGAATGTTCATGCAAGTGGGTGTTGAGGGCATGTGCTTCTTCTTCACTTGAGTAGGAGTTTTCTTGCTCCCCATGGCGCTTTTCCATCTTTTGGAACTCTGTTGAGTTTACTGAAATCGGATATATTTTTTGCATTTTTCGGTATTGCTCTTACTAGGTCTTTGTCTATAAATAGGGGTCCTTGGTCTCTTCCTCCTCATTCCTCTTTTCATTTCTTATTTATGGAGGCTTCTCTTAGAAGCTATCCCTATAAGCTTCTCCAAGAAGCTATTCAATCAAGCTTCTTCAAGAAGTTGGTCATCAAGCTTCTCTAAGAAGCTACTTCAACAAGGCTTCCTCAAGAAGTCATTCTTCCTCTATTTAAAGGCCTCTTCAAGAGGCTACTGTTCATCACTCTCATTTCTCTCCCTTCGTCTTCCCTTTCTCAAATTATAGAAAACCCATGGAGACTAGAAGCTCAAAGAAACACAAAGAGGGTTTTAGTGGCGATGGAGGCGGCGCCCAAGGGGCTAATTTTGGAGGTGGCCATAGTCTCGGGATCTTCGTTGAGGCCGACAAAACTTCCATGGAAGGAGTAGAAGGTAGTGGAGCCATGGAGCGTGGCGCCTATGGTGAGGAAGGGAGAGGCGATGGCAGTCCGCAAGGCATGGGAGAGCCCATGGGCGGCACCAGGGATGCTACGGACGGCACCCAACTAGGCAGCCAAGATAAGGGCAACGCCTTGTCTTTTTTGGGCACTGGGCCTACTTGGTCAGGTGGAGGCTTCAACCATTTGGGCGCCGACTGTGCTAGAGAGATTGGGCGAAATGGAGGGGCATGAGAAATAGGGGGTCCCATCCCCATGGGCGGCACTAGGGGCTTGGGCGACTCCCTCTCAGGAGTGGTTCAAGCCTCCTTTCATGAGGCCAATGATGGAAATATCGCTTTAGGTGCTGGGTCTCTCCCTCCAGACCATGGTGGTGACTCAGGTGTGATGAGCAGCTCCAAGAAGCATGCAGGCAAGTCTACTAGCACCTTAGGTAGTGCGAGGAAGTGACCAGTCAGTGACTTGAGCAGACTGAGCTCTCAAGGTATGTTGTCGGGAGCTCATATTTACTCCTTTGTTGGTATGGGCATTTTTTTTTTAACAATGGCCTAACTTTGTTTTTGGCGGGTGTTCCTTCAGGCGAGCGGGAGATTGTTAGGGACACTAAGGGAGGTGTAGGTACTAATGGAGGCAACGACTCTAGGGTAACCTCTATACTTAGCTCCCTCGACTATGACGAGGACATCACAGCCATTGTTTCTATGTATCGAATCCCTCCTTCTGTGGCGTGTCATCGTGTCAAGGGCAACGAGTCAACATGCTATGACTCCATCAGCGAGATTGTCCTTTATGAGGGGATATTGGAGGCAGGCTTGCGATTTTTGATACCCGGGCCTGTATCGCTAGTTCCCGGGAGACTGGCCCCAAATGGGTGGAGGGTGATACTAGCATTTTTTGCCTTATGGCAGTTAGTGCATGATGCTACTATTCCTCCACCATTTAAGGAATTCTTAGCCATGTATGTGCTCTTGGAGAACTCTGTTCCTAACCAGGGGTGGTATTATTTTTCCCCGAGGTAAGGCAAATTCATCACTAGCCTTATATCAAATCTCCATAGTTGGAAGACCAAGTTTTTCTTCGTTGGAGGCGAGTGGACCTCTGAGTCTGATCGTTCCATAGTGCCCTCCAAATGGGATATTATACCCAAGACCAAGCTGGGTAAGATCTTCTACCTTTAATTTTTGTTCTAGTCATCACATATTTGTTCTTATAGCATAACTGGCTTCTTGTAGCTTCGTCGACTCTATCCGTGGTGCAGGAAAGTAGGCTTTAGATGGTTCATGACCATCCATACANCGAAACTTGCAAAAGTAGTGTCAAGAAGTAAGAAATCAAGGAACTATGGCTGAAGATGAACAGAAATCGTTAAGGGATTATGTTATGCCGCTTGTTATAGAAATACAATTGAGCATTCAAAGGCCCGCAATTCAAGCAAACAGTTTTGAAATCAAGTCTGGTACCATCCAAATGATTCAAAATTCAGTGCAGTTTGGGGGTTTACCCAACGATGACCCAAACGATCATTTGGTAAGTTTTTTGGAGATTTGTGACACATTCAAGTATAATGGAGTTTTCAAAGATGCAATTAGACTCCGAATTTTCCCTTTCATACTTCGTGATAAGGCGAAGAGTTGGTTGCATTCATTGTCGTCGGGTTCTATTACTACGTGGACAGAGTTAGCGCAAAAATTCTTAGCTAAATTCTTTCCACCAGCTAAAACTGCAAGGATGAGGAACGATATCACATCGTTCGCACAATATGACTCTGATACTCTGTATGAAGCGTGGGAGAGATTCAAAGACTTACTCCGAAAATGCCCTCACCATAGCATTCCTCAGTGGTTGCAAGTTCAAACGTTCTACAACGGGTTGTTTAGTGCTACTCGGACCAATATTGATGCAGCTGCAGGTGGGGCATTGATGGGAAAAATTTTTGATGAAGCTTATGAGTTATTGGAAACAATGGCTGCCAACAATTATCAATGACCCTCTACAAGGATCAATCAGCAAAAGGTAGCTGGAATTTATGAAGTGGATGCGGTTACTGTATTAGCTACATAGGTTGCTATNGATGAAGCTTATGAGTTATTGGAAACAATGGCTGCCAACAATTATCAATGACCCTCTTCAAGGATCAATCAGCAAAAGGTAGCTGGAATTTATGAAGTGGATGCGGTTACTGTATTAGCTACATAGGTTGCTATACTGACAAAGAAGATTGATGCTTTAGGGGTGCAACCTATTCAAAGTGTGGCAGTCATTTGTGAATTGTGTGCTAGGAACCATCCAAGTGAACAATGCGTAATTAATTCGGAGTTGGTACAATACATTGGTAACCACAACAGGCAACAATATAGCAACATTTCCAACAACTATAACCCTANGCAGTCATTTGTGAATTGTGTGCTAGGAACCATCCAAGTGAACAATGCGTAATTAATCCGGAGTTGGTACAATACATTGGTAACCACAACAGGCAACAATATAGCAACATTTCCAACAACTATAACCCTGNGAGGCGATGGCAGTCCGCAAGGCATGGGAGAGCCCATGGGCGGCACCAGGGATGCTACGGACGGCACCCAACTAGGCAGCCAAGATAAGGGCAACGCCTTGTCTTTTTTGGGCACTGGGCCTACTTGGTCAGGTGGAGGCTTCAACCATTTGGGCGCCGACTGTGCTAGAGAGATTGGGCGAAATGGAGGGGCATGAGAAATAGGGGGTCCCATCCCCATGGGCGGCACTAGGGGCTTGGGCGACTCCCTCTCAGGAGTGGTTCAAGCCTCCTTTCATGAGGCCAATGATGGAAATATCGCTTTAGGTGCTGGGTCTCTCCCTCCAGACCATGGTGGTGACTCAGGTGTGATGAGCAGCTCCAAGAAGCATGCAGGCAAGTCTACTAGCACCTTAGGTAGTGCGAGGAAGTGACCAGTCAGTGACTTGAGCAGACTGAGCTCTCAAGGTATGTTGTCGGGAGCTCATATTTACTCCTTTGTTGGTATGGGCATTTTTTTTTTAACAATGGCCTAACTTTGTTTTTGGCGGGTGTTCCTTCAGGCGAGCGGGAGATTGTTAGGGACACTAAGGGAGGTGTAGGTACTAATGGAGGCAACGACTCTAGGGTAACCTCTATACTTAGCTCCCTCGACTATGACGAGGACATCACAGCCATTGTTTCTATGTATCGAATCCCTCCTTCTGTGGCGTGTCATCGTGTCAAGGGCAACGAGTCAACATGCTATGACTCCATCAGCGAGATTGTCCTTTATGAGGGGATATTGGAGGCAGGCTTGCGATTTTTGATACCCGGGCCTGTATCGCTAGTTCCCGGGAGACTGGCCCCAAATGGGTGGAGGGTGATACTAGCATTTTTTGCCTTATGGCAGTTAGTGCATGATGCTACTATTCCTCCACCATTTAAGGAATTCTTAGCCATGTATGTGCTCTTGGAGAACTCTGTTCCTAACCAGGGGTGGTATTATTTTTCCCCGAGGTAAGGCAAATTCATCACTAGCCTTATATCAAATCTCCATAGTTGGAAGACCAAGTTTTTCTTCGTTGGAGGCGAGTGGACCTCTGAGTCTGATCGTTCCATAGTGCCCTCCAAATGGGATATTATACCCAAGACCAAGCTGGGTAAGATCTTCTACCTTTAATTTTTGTTCTAGTCATCACATATTTGTTCTTATAGCACAACTGGCTTCTTGTAGCTTCGTCGACTCTATCCGTGGTGCAGGAGAGTAGGCTTTAGATGGTTCATGACCATCCATACAAGGAGTTCTGTGGGATCATGTTGGCATTTGGTCATTCCTTAGCTTCCCCGAGGTCGAGGAGGAAAGGTACTTGACTTTTCTAGTAGACTTTCTATGCACTTGATGTCATGGGCTTTTTAACTTATGTTGATTTTGCAGGTGCCTCCATTGATAGATCGGTGGTGGAGGCGGTATGCGCTTCCAGAGCGTTGTCTTCTCCGCCTCCTTCTAAGACAGTGAAGTCCAGTGCCCCTAGTACTCCTTACCGAGGCTCTCTGGTCAGGCCGGTCTCTGAGAGACGGGGCTTGGTGATGCCCCTAGTTCTCCCTTGATTGATATATCCTCACCTCCTAGAGATGAACCTAGTGCTACTATAGAGGCTGAGGCCTTGGTGCGGTGACCTGCTAGGGTGAAGTGTCTGCCTAGCTACTCTACTTCGGGATGTGCTTTAGTTTCTATGTTGTAGGGTGTGAAGCTTGCCAAGGAGAGGCTTTGGGGGTTTGTGACCCATATTGAGGTTGAGGAGATTAGCTCTCGGGATCTAGAGGGTGTCGTTGACGTTGCCATGGAGGGCTTCATTCTGGTATATCTAGCACTCTTCTTTAGCTTTGCTTTGACTTTCCTTCATATTTTACTTTTAAATGCTTATAGGTGGCTACTGCTTTGTCCTGCTTGTTTACGAGCACACTAAAGATTAGGAAGACAATCTATGGCTAGGCAATAGAGAGGCAGGTACATGAGGAAACTAAAGAGCAGTTAAGGCTTAAGTGGTAGGCACGAGAGGATGTTGCGGAGCTTGCACGACAGGCATGAGAGGATGCCGTGAAGCAATTAGGCCTCAAGCAGCAGGTGCGAGAGGATGTCATAGAGCAATTGAGGCTAGCGCATGAGAGAGCCGCCAAGTTGGAGGCTGACCTTCGAGTAGCTCTTGAGAGGGTTGCTAAGGTAGAGGCTTACTCCACAGAGGTAGAGAAGATAACGTATGCTACTGAGAGGGCCAAGGCAGGTGCCTTTATTGACGGCTATGATGAGCTTAGGAGGAAGGTCTCAGCGGCATTCCCTGCTTACGACTTCTCTCGCTTTCAGCCTTATGAGGCTTCCGAGACTAATGAGGACGCGAGCGACGATGGGAGTGGGGGTAGTGAGTGTCGTTAGGTGGTGTCTTTGTATTCACTTTTTTTGTTGATAGGTTAAATTCTATCTTTGTAAAGGTTTTATGAACTTGAAAGAAATATAACTTTTGAAAAAATATTGAGGAATTTTATTTCATAACTGAAAGTGAATATTTGAAGGAAATTGACCAAAATAAATGGTAAATAGTCTAAATAGTGACCACCACCTTATAACTCACTACCCCTAGCTACTAGTAGTATTTCTTTAGATGCTCTGCATTCCATGGATGGGCCAAGACTTTTCCTTCAAAGTTTTGTATTCTGAAGGTGCCCAGCCTTACCACATTTGTGATCGTGTAGGGTCCTTTCCAGCTGGGTCTGATGAGTGGGTTTTATACCTATGAATTGAGTGCTTTCGGCTTAATGAAATTGCAAGTTTTTAATTATTTTATGTTCATTTTTATTCGTTTTGTGTGTTTTGATGTTATTTTGTAGGAATGACCATTTTGGAGGAAACAAGGTCAAAATTGGAGCCTAAGTGTTGGATTTTTGAAGAGGAAGCTAAAGGGCATTTTAATGGAGTATTTATAGAGTACTATTTTGTAGCAGTACCTCGGTTTTCTGCCTTTTGGACCATGATTCACTTTGAATCTGAACAAGTTCAAAACTTGAAAGTTGTAGATCAGGATATCTTCTGTATTGTGTCAAAATTTCAGCTCAATCGGACATTTGTATCAAATGTTATGACAATTCTACGAAGACTGGTCCGGACCAGGCAGAATACAAGGAGGCGCGCCCCAGCGCCAAAACACTGTCCAAATAAGTGCCCCTGCGCCAGTTTGAGCGCCCTTGCACATGTGTTAATTCATGACGCAAATTTTGACTTGTTTTGAGCCCAAAATTTAACCCTAAGGCTATATATATACTAGGGTTTGTGTGGGGATGGGAGATTCTGACTTTTGGGGGCTGAAAACGGCTGCAACGACCAAGAAATTGGAAGAAAATTGAAGACACGGATTGAAGAAATCGACACGAAGAAGATTGGACTTGAAGGCTAGAGAAGGATTGGAGACTACAACTAAGTTTTCATTCTTTTCTCTTATTTTTTCTTCTTGATTTTCTAAGATGTTGTTTAATTTGAGAATGATGTTTTTCAATTACGTTATGAACTAAATTTTTATTAAGATTGCAACGGAACCTATGTCTAGTTAAATTAATCTACTCTCGTTTCTAGTTCTATTGATCATACATGAGTTGTTTGTCATATTTTGTGCTTAATATATGATTGTGTGGCCAACAATTAATTTGATAACCTAGATGAAATTGGGAGATGAATTCTAGGTTTAGATCTGAATATGATGACATGCATCTAGTTAATTCTTCTTAGGATTGAATAGCTGGGTTTGTGTATAGGATAGGAATATACCTATATGCCGTGTGTAACTTTTATGAGAGTTTGAACTTAATGAATCTATTCCAACTTATTTTGCATAGGAATATAGTAATTTAATTGGGATAGATAATTTTATCTAACTATCGGAAGAGGTTTGATAAATAACTTTGAGTTCTCAGTTAACAACTTATTTTGATCAATTAACTGGAAAGAGAGTTAGAAAGATTTATACGAAGCATTAGGGGAAGTTGTAATCTTAACTTCTTTTCTCTAGTAAATTCAACCCTTGATTGTTAAGTTTAGATTTAGTTTTAATTAGTAATTCCATAGCTCAATTTCAATTGTTTAAATAAAATTGAATTGATATAAAGTTAGTACTTGGAATTTATTACTAATAATTCTCCGTGGGAACGATACTCTACTTATCACTTTATTACTTGTTGATCGTGTATACTTGCACGTAAATTGTCAATACCAAATTCGGACAACAAGTTTTTGGCGCCGTTGTCGGGGAATTATTCTAGTAATTATTTCAATATTAATTTCAATCAATTTGATCTTAGTTTAAACTTATTTAATTTTATGTTTTAACTACTTTTGCAAGTACTCTTGAATTTTGTATGCAAACACGATCCACAGGTCAAGAGCTACTACCATACGAAGACGAAATCGAAAGGAAGCTCCGAAACTTGCAAAAGCAGTGTCAAGAAGTAAGAAATCAAGGAACTATGGCTGAAGATGAACAGAAATCGTTAAGGGATTATGCTATGCCGCTTGTTACAGAAATACAATCGAGCATTCAAAGGCCCGCAATTCAAGCAAATAGTTTTGAAATCAAGCCGGGTACCATCCAAATGATTCAAAATTCAGTGCAGTTTGGGGGTTTACCCAACGATGACCCAAACAATCATTTGGTGAGTTTTTTGGAGATTTGTGACACGTTCAAGTATAATGGAGTTTCCGAAGATGCAATTAGACTCCGACTTTTCCCTTTCACACTTCGTGATAAGGCGAAGAGTTGGTTGCATTCATTGCCGCCGGGTTCTATTACTACGTGGACAGAGTTAGCGCAAAAATTCTTAGCTAAATTCTTTCCACCAGCTAAAACTGCAAGGATGAGGAACGACATCACATCGTTCGCACAATATGACTCTGAGACTCTGTATGAAGCGTGGGAGAGATTCAAAGACTTACTCCGAAAATGCCCTCACCATGGCATTCCTCAGTGGTTGCAAGTTCAAACGTTCTACAACGGGTTGTTTAGTGCTACTCGGACCAATATTGATGCAGCTGCAGGTGGGGCATTGATGGGAAAAAATTTTGATGAAGCTTATGAGTTATTGGAAACAATGGCTGCCAACAATTATCAATGGCCCTCTGCAAGGATCAATCAGCAAAAGGTAGCTGGAATTTATGAAGTGGATGCGGTTACTGCATTAGCTGCACAGGTTGCTA